TTGATCATGCTACTATCATGATTCTAGATCCTCTGTTGCTCGTGTGTTGGTCGAATTAGACGTTTCTAAAAAGTTTTCAAACAATGTGTGGATTGGGCCGGAGAATCTGGGGTATGTCCAGTCTGTTATCTTTGAGGACATCCCATTTTACTGTGATCATTGTAGCTCTTTAGGTCATTCCAAAGCGGAATGTTTATTCCTGCCCCCAAACTTGGCCAAAGCTTCTTGTTCTCATTTGGTTAATGCTTCTGACCCGGTTGACAATGTTGTTCCGGTTATTGGGGTGGACCAGGGGGTGAACCTGGGGTGTGTGTCTCCTATCTCCTTGGGGTTTGTTGGTCATGTGGGTATTGCGGCTAATGTTGGTTCACCCGTTAATTGTATTGAGGCTGTGTTGCCTAATTCCCCTACTCCTATTGAGGTTTCTGTGAACCCCGATGTCTTTGTGAACCCTGTTGTGTTGGTGCCTGAGGTTCAAGGACTGGGTTGTGATGTTGGTAATTTTGAGGAAGATGATGCTGTTTCGATTTATGTTAATGGGTTTGGGTCTCTGGTGCCGGATTCTCCTAACCATGTGCTTGTTATTTCGTTGAACAAGAAGATTTATATTGTTGAGGTTGGTGTTGACGGGTATAATTTGAAGGTTTCAGTGGATAAGGTGGCTGGGGTTTTACCTTCTATTCATGTTTCACGTGCTTGTGCTAGTGCTAATGGTCTTTTGGGTTGTGCTGTTAATGAGCGTTCTGTGTTGTCTGTGGGGGATGTTGTGTCAGCTCCATGTCTTTTAAATGCTAATGAGATGCATTGTGTGGCTGTGGAGGATTCTGTTGACTCTGGCATGGTTACACCTTTGGGTGTGGTGCCAGAGGGACCTGGTTTTGATCATAAGCGTATTTCTCCAATTATGCCTTCTATAATAGGTCATTTTTTTGAGGTCCCTGTTAATTTTGTTTCACCTAAGGCACAGTTGGGTGTCAATTCAGGGGAGGATGTTAGGATTCAACTTGATTGGCTGCAGTGTTCATCTGATTCGTCTTCAGAAGTTAGTGGGGAGGATGAACCTGTGGCTATTTTTCCCATAAAGAATGATAGGCCAGTGGTTTCAATTTCCTCTCCCTCTCGTGGGAGGGGTAAACGTGGGCGGAAATAATTTGTGGGTTGGTGCTGATGTTCTCGGTTGTCTTTGCTGCCTTTCGTTGATGGTTGGTTTTTGCATTTGTTGGCTTTTACTTATTACCTTTTCACTGAAGCCTCGATTTGGTTTTAATTCTAGCCGTTTGAGTTGCTGGGCAATGATGTGGCTGGGGCTCACTCCTCCGTAGCCAAGGCTCATGGCAACTTTTAATGTTGCTTTCTTGCTCAGTTGGGTTGGTTGCTTCGTGTTCTCTAGTTTCTGCTCCAAATTGAATGGTTTGTGACTGGCTACGGTGTGGTTCGTAGCCTCGACCAATTTCTGAGCTCGATGGATTGTAACTCTTTTTTTTTTTTTTCTTTTTTTATTTTTTTTTGTTCCTTCGTTATTATGATCCTTGTACTCCTTTATTATTTTTAATAAAGTTTATGTTTTTTGTTTAAACAAAAAAAAGTATTAAGAGTTATTAAAAAAAAGGTATTAATAGTTCTAAAAAATAATTAAAAAAGAAACCAACAACTTAAAATGTTAATTTCAGTGGGGTTTATATTATTAAGTGGTAATTAACAACGTAAAATTTGGACAAAATAACTGAAGTATTTTTTGATCATTAGGCTGAACTAATGGGGAACGAACCCCAATTAATATCAATATCATTGATCTTAATTTTAGCATTCTATGAAGTTTGCGTGATGATCCGAGCATAATATATTAAAAATTTTTACTCCGAATTTTTTGTAATTGCTTAAAACTAACTATACAAGTTCCATTGAATTCTGAAAGTGTCAAAATTGAGTCTGAAATATTAAAATATGAATATTGGGACACCAAAAACATCTGAATCAAACTGTGCGGGTGAAAAATCGGGCTCTGACACACATAGGCAGCCGAATCAGTTTGGGACCGACCAGCGCTTGCGCATGCTTGGCGCAAATTACAACGACTTCCCCCTTTTTTAGAATTTTTAATTAAAACTTAATTAATTATTTCTTTTTTAAATTTTTGTTCAAATATAGAAAAAATCCGAAATAATTTGGAAAACATTTTTAGAAAAAATTCATAAAATTTTATTGAAAGGAAATAATTAATTATAAATGCATCTATTTATTTTAATTTAATATTTTCTTTTTTATTTAATTTTAAAAAGGGGAACTTTAATTTTGTTCTAAAATAATCCAAAAAAGTTCATGAATTTTTTTTCCAAAGTTATCCCCTTATGGATCTATAAATACCCCACTTTGGGTGGGGGAAAAGACACGGCCCTCTTATGCAAGAGTTGAATACCGTCAATCTCTGATAAATGCTCGGTTCTCATATGTGGATTCCAGTTCTTTCATGTAAAAGGAGAGAGCAACTGGCTCACAAAAGCATAAAGACCGTCAATCTCTAGTAAATATTCGACCCTCTTATGTAGGCAATCATGGGCATATGTTGACAGTGGTAATAGGAGGGTGTTCTGATAATGATTGTCAGACAATGGGCCAATGATGGTTGTCTTTGCCCGTCACGAGGTAAAGAGGTGAAGGTGGTTGTGAGGCAAAGGGTCAATAGTGGCAATTAGAGCCAATTAGTGAGATGAATCCAATGACATCAAAATCGGTCCAATCTGAGCCCAAACGGGCTTAAATCAAAGGCTTAAAACATATTTAGAAGCTCTAAAGCATTAATTGGATGACCAATTTATATTCAAATATGGCTTTCTTAAAACCAAATCAAGCGGCTCGACAAGACAAATTCAACGAGCCTAGGATTACATAATTGTGATATCATGAAGACACTTAAATGCTAAATAAATACTCCATGATCGAGGGAATTACTATGGGCCGTCTGATGGAGTACTCTAAATTTGCTCCAAATCTCCTCCATATTCACAGAGCATGCCACTCTCAAAGAGACTTGTGTAAGTGATTCCATATTTGAAACAAATAATTTAAACATTCATCTTAATTAATAGGTATATTTTGTGTTAAGAATTTTAATAAAACTAAAAACCCTTTGGATTGAGCTTGCTTCTATTACTAATATGTATCGACGTACAATAAGGCTAATCTTTGTTCAAAGTAGCTTTTGCTGCTGTATTTTACAAATTGCTAGTATAATTTTATTTGGCTACTGCTTTCTAAAACTTAGTTTTTGAGACTCAAATTTGCTGTGTACAGTAGCTATAAAAAGTTAATAATGAACTAAAAAAAATTATAATATCATTAACAACTTTACAAATTTATTTTATTCATAATAATTTACAATCACATTTATAAAAAAAATTATAATCATCTCAAAAAGACTTTAAAATTTATTTTACATATTTCAAAAATACATTTTAAATTTTAGATCTTAAATCCATCCCATTTCAATCAAATAAATATTGGAATATACTCTAAAAATAGAATATTCTTCCAATAGTAAAATTCAATAATTTTTCAATACTTATAGTGAGACAAATTGTTAACCTTAGTCTACTTTCATTTATGATGCCATTCTCTCATTGTCAATGATTAATTGGTGGCATAACTGTAATTAAGCTTTTTTCCTTACAACAAAAGAGTCATTTCACTTTAGACCGTGAGGACCTGAGGTAGGCTCTGTTCCATATCAACGTGACACATTGTCATCTAATATGTTATATAAGAAACTATGAAGCCTCCATGAATCAATGCTTCTCCATTTACAAAGTCAACATTTATAGAAAATTTAAATATAAAAAATTGAAAAATAAAAATAAAAATAAAAATGTTGCTCAAATAAATAAGGAAAATTATATAGAGTAGGCGGGGTTTGAGTCCGACCCGTATCCAATTAATTTGAATCCCAATAAGAGGCACATCCAGCCTTAATTTTCGGGGGGATCAATAAGAATCTGTAGCAAGTTTTATCTCTCTGTCACTCTGATACCGTGAAGGTGAAAATTTCCCTATTTTCCTCGACATTTTATATAATGACCATTATGCACTATTGTAGTTGCATAATTGCTCGCACTATTTGAGCAAATTTTGAATTCGGACAAACTTATAAGTAAAAATGTAGAGTTCTTTTTCATAAATATCCTTGCAACCAAAATTTATTTTGAGGGCACTGACTCTCAACCCTTATTTATTCATTGTTGTATGCTTCACAGATATGTCGAGGATTCAAGTGGGCAGCACCCCTGGTGGGGTTCGACCTAACAAAAATATCTCTACACAATGTGTTTAAATATACTATAGAATTTGTCTAAAGACTATAATATTTTAAAATTTTTAGGGGAGGAAGACAATTGCTTAAAAATCTTTATAATAAAGACTAAAAAATACATGCAGAGGACAAATTATCTAAAGAATCATATAATAATGAATTTTTTTATTTTATCAGGAGGGCAATTGCCCTCCGGGCTTAAGGTGATCTGCGCATGAATCCGATCTGTTTAATAAATTGGTCAGAAAAATTAATCCGAACTAAATCAGCTAGCAATCTAAATGACCCGAATCTAACACGCTTTGTCAATTTATTTAGAATTTATTAACTATATATTTAGAATAATTGATAAAATTTAAGAAAATTATATCTATAAATAAAAACATATTAAATAGATTTTTTTTATATAAAAAATAAATAAGAAGATTACCTATTTAATATATAAATAAAAACATTTAATTTAAATCCGAAGCATTTTTAAACGGGCCAATTTGAATTCAGAGTTTGCGCAAATAGTGCGAGCAGTTAAGCAACTACAATAGTGCATAATGGTCATTATATATTTATAGCAAAATAAGACTGCAGTAGATTAAAGTGTTGAGGAAAATAGGGAAATTTTCACCTTCACGGTATCAGAGAGAGAGAGAGAAAGCTTGCTACAGAGGGAACCTCCATTAAAGAAAGAGAAAGGAAGAAAGAGAAAGGAAGAAAGAGAAACCCTAACGAGGTTAGTTGGCTTGCTCTGCATCTGTCTGGTCCTTCAATCTCCGTTCATCTTGATCTGTGTCATTCTGTTGCTTGGTTCCTTCTTTACCAACTATTTTGGGATTCGCTGGAATGTAAGGATTGCACGGTTGGTAATGTAGCTGCTGGATTAGATTCCTAACTGCGGTAAAATTCAAACATTTTGAATTGGCCTTGGTGAGTGCTTCAATCAATTGGAAGCAGCGGGTTAACTGCAATTCGGCGAGGAATGGTGAAACCCTAGCTGAATCCTTCGAGATCGGAGGGAGCGAAGTGCGGGGAAGGTGAGAAGCAGTCTTCTTGGTGCTTTTTGTGTAGGGAATTGGTAATTGGAATTGAATGTGCTTAATGTCTGTTCTGGTATGAATTCAACGGGTCGCATTTTGTGTTGGCATGGAATTTTCATGAAAAATATGTTATTTTCTTACGTTTTTGCTTAAATTTCTCATTCACCGGGTTTCCTTGGATTGTCGCATTTTATCTAAGAATTTGTTTGATGTGCATTCACTATTTGTTTTCTTGTTTTTCCTATCACCATGTAACTGTAAAATTGTTTATGTTGCTCTTCAGGATGAGGAGCAAAGGGGAATTTGTCCTGTGCAGTTAGTTTGAGAGCAGTAATTTGGCCATTGGTATTTTTAGTTTATTTCCAGCACTAAAGTGGTGTATGCAGATATGATAAGGCTTGGATCTATGTAGAAGGAAGAAGGTTGTGGTAAAATATGCCTCCTTTACCAGCGCTAAGGTTCTCACCTGGTAGGGAGCGCATGACAGAAAATAGTCACAAGAGGGGCCAAAGTTTTGAGAGTGGGTTGACTCTTAAAGCAAAGGATGATGACCTTGTGCTATTCAATGAAGTGCAAAACCAAGAGAGAGATAACTTCCTTCTTCATACAACTGATGATTTTGAGGACTCTCTTTGTAATGTCCTATTTGACTTTTTTTTCTTTGAGTTGCTGATTGCAACGCTTATTTGGTTTATTCTTAACAGTGCCAATTTCTTAAATGCTTTCCTTTTGTTTATTATCACTTCTCATCAGCAAAGTTGAAGGACTTCTCAGATTTTGGCATTAACAACCCGTCAAGAGGAAAAAGCAGTGATTTGCTGAATGTGGAAGATGAAAAAAATGACTATGATTGGTAAGTTGTTCTCATGTGGCATGATTTTTACTATTCACATTAAATATGGTTGCTAAGGGGAACTAGTTATACCATAACTTTTAAATCTTAATAGTTGGCCGAGTTTAACTTAAGCCCTGGGGTTTAGCATAAATAGTGGCACAAAGTTTTCCCTTAAAACTTTAGTATTGTTTCCCTTTTTCCTCAATTTTTTTGTCACTCTATTTGGGATGGTAGTCAAATCATTTAATGCTTTCAACATTATTTGATGGCAATGTATTTTCCATATTCACAACAGGCTATTAACCCCTCCTGAAACACCTCTTTTTCCAACATTGGATGATGATGATCCTCAACCTGTTAATCCAGCACCTGGAGGCAGACAGAGAAGCCAACCTATTCCAATCTCAAGATCATTGGTAAGTTGGTATCTTAGTTCCATTTATCTCTTTAATCTTTAAGTAAACGGGAAACATGTACCGTATTTCCTTAAGCGGGGCGTTCTCATTAGTTTTTTTGTAATTGCAGACTGATAAGAATTACCAGACAACTCGAACTAGCTATAGTCCACAGAGATTAAGCCCATCTCCTCGATCTATTGGTGCTTCCACACAAATGAAAGGGAGATCATCTTCAGCTCCACAATCTAGTCCTCCTCCTGTCATTCGGTCTACAACTCCTACTAGAAGGTCCTGTACTCCTCCAAATAAACCATCATCCACACCTATTCCCAGGTCTTCAACTCCTACATTGCAAAGGGCAAGCACCAGTTCTAGCTTTCAGGCATCAAACTATGGAGGAAGAAGACCATCTCCAGTTAAGGCAAGTCGTGGGAGTTCTGCTTCACCAAAATCACAGGGGTGGCAAATGATCCTCCCTGGTTTTAACTCAGAGGCACCTCCAAATCTGCGAACTTCATTATCAGATAGACCAGTTTCACATGTGAGAGGTTCTTCTCCCGCATCTAGAAATGGGAGGGAATTATCAATGAAGCTCGCAGGGAAAATGATGTCTCCAACTAGTTCAAGAAGTATCAGTTCATCATACAATCAAGAACGAGACCACTTTAGTTCCTGTAGTAAGGGCTCTATGTCATATTCTGGTGATGATGATGAGGAATCTCTGCAGTCTATAACAGTTGGAATTTCTAGAAGTGTCCCTCCTAGAAAAGATGGATTTTTGACAAACAACAAAGCCATGCCATTCTCTAGAAAGCCATCTAGAACGGTTCCCAAAAGGTCTTTCGATTCAGCTCCTAGATTGATGGTATGATCCTTTTCTTTTATGAAATTTGATTGTCATGGGCTAACAATACCTGTAAATGAAGTTTTACAAAATCATCTGCAGTTTCCTGCTGATTTAGTTTCTAGTATTTAAACCTCTTCAACGAAGGTTTTTATTATCCTTAACCCTTAAGGGGCAATATGTCATAAATTGGATGCCATTATTGAATGTGATTGACTGGACAATTAATTTTTTAATACAAACCTATGAGGACTACCTATCTTTCACGTTTAGGATATTCCGTTTAGTATTGTTTATGTGGTATTGTTCATTTATCACTAAGAAGAGTGAAATCATTCCATTTGAAAAATTGTACTGATGTTGCTTATATATGTTGTTATAGCAAACAGTCACGAGATGTTTGCCTTCAGCATTCCGTTTTATAATGCTTATACTATTTTTACTGACAATTGCTTATAATTGGAATGTTGTAATTACTTTCAGTGATATGCTTGTAATATTAACTCACGGGCTGTTCTTCATTTGCAATTTTGTTAAAAACTGAAAGTCTTATGGTGCTTGAAGGTCTACTTATGAAAATAGTTTGTTTCTTAATACATCTAGTCTGCATGTTGCACCAATTGTTGCCTGCCTACTGGAAGAATAATGGAAATCCTTTTTTTGGAAACATCAACAGAGGTAATTTCAAAGTCAAGCATTCAAACTTGATAAACCTTTGCCCATTGCGTATCCACAAGCATAATTTGAGATTTAGATTTATCGAAAATTAGTTAGTGTCAGTTTGGTGAATAGAATTAGTAGGTTCTTACTTTCTGAAAGGAACTTCAAATTTAAAAGCTCAAATTCTAATTTTTTAGCTGTCCTGATCACGTTAACAGTAATTTATTAGCCTTTATGCTGGTTGTTGTAATAAAGAATTTAGGGTAAAAACCGTAACATACTCTAACAATTATCCTACTTTATCACACTTTACAGTTTGACCGCTGACATTTAAAAAATGCAAACAATCATATATTTTTTTTATTTTGATGACAATTTGATCGTTTCTCATAGAAATATCAAATATGCAATAATAGAACGTGTCATGTTAACTTTCTATGAAACATCTGAAGGTAAAATAGCCATTCAGCTAAAAACATCATTATGCTTCAGATAGAAAATGCCATGCGAATTACAAGCTATGGTTCAACTGATAGTTTTATTATTTCATTGCATGCATGAAATTTAACTTATTTTAGAATTTTTAATGAAAAATGATCAAAATGTTGTCAAAGAGAAAACATAAATATTTTTTGTCATTTTCTGAGAGTAGAATAAAGTTGGATGTTTTTTACAGTACTTTACCCAATAAGTTATTTCCTATGTAAATGGGGGAGACGTTTTTATTCATTGTCCTACAATTAAGAGCTTCTGAAGGTATGAATCACCATTTTATATAAACCTCTATCCATGTTGTATGAACCAATGTTCTGTGATACAAAGTAAAATGACGTAGTTGAAGGGAGGACATTTTTCTTTACCCTCATGTTCCACAAATTACCATCTTGTCCTAAGAAATGGCAGTATTTCTTATTATTTCTGATTTTTATGGTGATTTTAATTATAGATTAGGATCTCTTTCTTACATTTTCTTTTAACACGTCCCATCACATAGCATTCATTTTTCTTTAAGGACTCTAGCTGGATACTTGTTTATGTACTGATTCTCCCGAGTCTACTTAAATGGAGCTTCTAACATGCAAAATGAATACGCATGTGTCTTCTTGGAGATTTTATAAGCCAGTTGATTTACAAGAATTTCTTCTGACCAAAAATGAAATTATAAGATGATGTGGGTGCTCTTTGGAAGTTATATGGTAATGACATGAATCAGATTTATACAAGCAAGTGTTGCTTAACAAAATTGGAATAACATTGGGGTGCATTCTATTTTTTATGTCTTTTGGGGTGGCGTTTGTCTTCGAATAGGCATGAAACAAAATGGGAATAAAATTTGGTTCAATTTTATTTCTTTTCTTTTGGGATGGCGTTTTTCTTAGAATAGACATGGAACTTAAAGAAAGGTATAAGTTAAAGTGCGCAATTGTATGTTTTTTAAAGGCTTATGCTATCTTTTATGCCCATACTAAAATGTCAATTTGATGCCAGCTTGTGCAGCTGGTTTGCTTTTAAGTTTAGCTGTTTTGGTTTCTCAAGTTTTAATTATCTTTACTAATAATATCTAATAATTTAAGAACTTTATTATGCACTTTTTTCGAACCTTCGACAGTTCTAGGGAGAGGAGGGATGGGGGGGCCAAAAAATCATGTCCTTCAATATTTATGATTGGTACTTGTAGCTCTCAAAATTGGAATGTTTAGCATACTATATGGCTGTTCTATGATTAATTTTAAGCATAAACCTATAATCTTTATTTTTGTCAAGCTAGTAAAAGTTGGACATTCTTTTTTCTGTTATTTAATAACTATTCATGTCATGATTGGATGGTTGAAGTGGTTGATTGCATTGGGCCTATGTGTGATAGAAATTACCCCTCAAACATAATGGAAAATTTTATAAGATGGCGTTGAGACTTGCAATGTTTTATGACGCAGAATGTTGGCCATTAAAAGAGAAGCATAAAATTAAGTTGTGTTGTGGAGATGAGGATGCTCAGGTGGATGAGTCATTTTATGCTTAGAGATAGAATTCGAAATGAGTATATACGTGAAAAGGTTGGAGTAGCTTTAGTGGTAGATAGATTAGAGAGAGTTGCCTTAGATTGTTTGGTCATATAAATCGTCGACTTTCCGATTACCCGATTAGGAGAGTAGATGTATTAGGTCCAGCCAATGCTAAGCAAGGCAGAGGTAGACCTAAAAAAACTTGGTTAGAAAATATTAGAAGTGACAATGGAGAAAAAAGATTCATTTAGCTGACCCCATGCAGTGGGATAAAGACTTGATATTGTTGTTGTTGTCGTCGTCGTCGTTATTTTATAACTATTATTATAAGCACCTAAGGGAAATATGAAAAAATAGTGCTGAATCCTTATATATTTTCTAAGACTTTTGTTTTGATGAGAAAAGATAATAAAAAGATTTACTTTAAGCTTTTTTTTTTTAGCATACACTTTTGATTCATGGTTATCAAAATATTATGCTCTTGGTTAATCCAAATTTACTCTAGCCATAAAAGAATCATGATATGATATCCTTAGGTCACTACAAACTTATCATTTTTCAGTCACCTAGAAACCATAATAAGAGAGAGAAATGTTACATATTGTGTTGATTCTTGATTCTATTATATTTGGATCATTTTAAATAACAATTATTTGAGTCCTACATCAACTAAATTTCAAGCATTCATTTTCTTTCAAATTAGATGATCCCAATTAGTTGAGATATGATTAATGGTGAGCATGATGAAGATGCAAAATAAACTAATATTTTTAACACTTTGATACAACACTCAACATTAATAAATGGAGAATGTGAATTTATAATGGATACCTTATTTTGTTGGGATAAGGCTAATGATGATAATGATCTTTGTAGAAAGTAGGAGATATTGCAGGCAATAGAGTAAAAGACATATATAAAATTGTATTTCCCTCTTAGGCGTTTGGTTGATTCCTCGACCAGTGAAGGAATTAATACCTGAAAATTATTGGTCACCATGGAAATTGTCATGAACAATTAGAAAAAACTATTGAAGTTTATGATGAGAAATAAAAAATTATAATTAAAAAGTTTTTATTATATTTTCTTGAAATTTTAAATGCGAAGGGAAGAGGGTAAGAGTAAGTGATTTTGTTTTTGAATTGTATTCCGTTGTTTTTTGTATGAAAAAAATGAATAAGAAGCTTTACATAAATAGATGGAGGAATAATACCTTGGAAAGAAACAAATATAAAAGCCAGTCTTTAGTTTTGGAATTCATAATTAGTTATACAATAGAAATGGAATACCCTTTTTCACATATTGTTGGATTGTAATAGATTGAAAGATGTTGTCCATTGATTGATGGATTACTAAAGATGGAAAGGTATTGGCCTCGAATTCATGATTACTGCCTCTCAATTTAGATTGTATATATTGATATGCCGAACTTATTGAGTAGTTTATCAAAACTCTTTCTGAGTAAAGCCTTGGTGAGGATATCTACAATTTGAGAGTTTGTTGTAACTTATTTAGTTGGGATAATCCATTTTCCATTTTTTTGAGATGAATTGTTAGTTCATCTTAATTTTTTGCAATACTTATGGCAGTATGTTGTCATAGTTTAATTTTAGATTTTATTTGATAGTTTTGTTTTTCTAACAATATTTTTAACCATATTCTTTCATAAACACTAAGTGTCACTACCATGCATTCTGTTTCAACATTACTTCTTTAGACCATAGATTTGTTTTTTTGTCTTGATGTAACTAAGTTTCCTCATATCTAAGTACAATAATATGCATCTCCAGCACAACCAACATTTATAAAAATTTTGGTTTCCTCATTGCATGGCTTTTTACATAGCATGCCTTTTCTTGATGTCATCTTGAGGCACCTTAAAATGCAGGTAAATGTTTTCATTTGGTTTTTAATTGGGTTGTTCATGTATTGGCCTACAACACTACATTAGACGAGTTTTCCCACAAGGGTTTGATACCTTCCTTTGTCAACAAACTTGTTAATAGCAGTGATCCCAATTTTCTTTGTTAAGTCCAGTGGAGTTTCTGCAGGCTTACATGCAAGCATTATTGTTTCTTGAAGTAGATCAAAAATATAATTTCTTTGGTAAAATCAATACCTTATTTTGATCGTGCAACTTTCATGCCATGAAAATATTTTAGATTTTCCTGTTTGTTTATCTCTAAATTTCTAGCTAGAAAAGTATTTATTATATGTTCTTTGAAGTTACTTGTCAATATAATATTTTTGCATAAATTATCAGAAATGCTTTTTTTCCCCTTTAGGTGAGTGCTTGATAAAGTGGATGTGATTAGCTTAGCACTAAATGTACTTGCACTTTCTATAGATTTGACGAATCAACCAATCTACCATGGTGGGATTGTTTGAGGCCATATAGAATTTTTATAAGTCTACATGCCTTATTGGTGTTTTTCTAGATTTTTTTTATTCCGACTGGGATCTCCATGTATACTTCCTTTTTAAGGTCCCATTAAGGAAAAAATTCTTAGTTTCTACTTGATGTAATTACTAGTCCAAATTTTCCATCAGAGAGTGCAAACCTTGAATTTTGTTGCGTTTGGTAATGGGAAAGAAAATCACTTGATAGTCAATATCATATGATTTGGCGTACTCTTTTGCAATAAATCAGACTTTAGATTTTTCTGTGCTACCATCTGCTTTATATATGATTGTAAAGATTCATTTGCATTCAACTAATTTTTTTCTTGGTGGAAGTTTAGAAACTTCCGACTTTAAATTCCATTCTAAAATATGGATTTCTTCTATTACAACTTTCTTCTATTCAAGATTTTAGGAGCTTCATGAACATTATTTGGAAATTATATTTTACAAGATACATGTAGCATACAATTCAGGTGAAAGCCCTTCATATGTTACGGAATAAAAACTTAGCTGTTTGGCCCATGACCTCATCCCTATCCTTAAGGCAACACGACAATGGAGTTCAATATTATTATCAATGGATTTATTCTCAACTATTTGTACTTCATTGGTCTTTAAACTAGGTTCAAGTTATTGGTTGTAATTGGGATATGCTGATTGCTCCCCATGAGAAATGTTCATTCTCCATCGGTTTGATGAAAAAGTATGGTGGATGACTAAATAAGTTCCAACCCTATATTTCTTATTATTTCCCTCTGAATTTCAGGTTTGGAGTAGTAAGGCTAGTGTTTAAGGAAGACCACACTGATGGAATTGTAAATTGTTTTAGTAATATGGGAACAACATTTATACCTTTTTTTTAATTCGGGAATATCGATTAAAAATTCTCTTTATAGATTAATGATTTAATTTGCTTTGGTATTGAGAATGCATGTGAATACAAACTGAACATCTAACTATTTTTGGGGAACATAAATGATTTTTGTATTGGGAAATGAATAGTTTGAAGGGTTTGACCATGACTTTGAAATTTAAGTATTTTTTAGTGCATTCTATTAATGCGATATGTAACTATTAGAACAACTGTTCTTCTCCTTGACGATATTAAGGAATATTTGGAGAAAATATTCTCTAATATTTTTTAACTTGCCTTTTAGCAGCCTTAATTGAGGGATGTCAACACAGGAGCTTTGGTAGATAATCCCTTAATATAAGAGAGTTTTTTAAGATCAATGTATTATTTGACATTATCAGTTTTCAAGTTTTGATTTTGGATTGAAATTGAGCGTGAATCATTGTGTTTACTAAAATGTTTAATTATGCTTCTGACTTATTTAATTAAGAAAACCCAAGTTTGGCATGTACGTCGTCAGTTAAGGAAATAAACCATCTAGGTGTAGAGTTATTTTTACTCTAGATAGTCCCTATGATCACTATGGACTAAACTATAATGTTTGGAAGGTTTGTAGGTTTGACTGTGATAAGAATTACCAATATGTTTAGCTAGATTATAAATTTCACCCTAAAAGTTCTTTGAAATTTTAAGAATCACTTCTTCAAGATTAAGTAAAGTTTGAACATCCTAGGTGATATAGCCTTGGAGCTAGACATTATTTTTATTATTTGAAGTGTAATTAAAATTTGAAGTGGGAATTTTGGTGGATGCACAACTCATTTCACCCGTATCTTATTTAAAGGATCATTCTTTAGAAGGTAGAGTCATGAACAAATTTAGTTCAAGTATTTAAACCCAAAAAGATTAAAATTGGAATTAACAATAGAATTTTTGTCTTGAGTGAATTTGCTGATTGATAATAATTTGCAACTTAGGTTCAACACTGTAAACACAATCATATGATAGGACGTGACTTATTTGTCCATGTTTTTTAGTGACTTATGTAATTAGAACACTCGAATTTTTATTGCATGATTTTTTCTGATGTCTTATAATTTGGCACTTCCATGTCTAACTTTGAAGTAGTAGTTTTCTTCCTGGTTGTTTGTAATGATGGCATTCGAGAATTTATCTTTTTGAGTAGCCAATTTTCCTTTTGTAAAATATGTAGCCAGAAAATCAATTTTTAGGCCTCTCAATAGATTTCTCATCCCAATTAATCTTGATCTTATAATGGATGAAAGCTTGAACCCAATTACTTTGAGTTGGCACAAAGCTGATATACCCACTAAATCAAACTCAAAATTTCAATAGATATATGCCCTGGGCCCCCATCTCATCTAAGCTCTAGTAATCTCTCATACTAACAAACCCACCAATCAAAATAAAATCCTTCAATTAAACTTACACGAATAAATAATCTCTGTGTGTCTTATACATGCTTCTTCAAGTCAAGTTGAAACTTTGAATAATTGATGGTCATATCATTTTCATGAGCTCTTATCGGTTGTGTAGTACCACTGAGTACCCCTAAACATTTTTTTGAAATTTGATATGACACTAGCCCTCTGCCTGCAAACTAGCTAATGTCTAACTTTGGAGGCACATTTCTGACACACCTATATTACTTGTTTTATTAGTAAGTGCTCTATCGGTAGTAATTTCAGTATATAATGAACACATATTTTCTTTATAGCATCCACAAAATCAAATGGTATGGTAGTTAATTATGCATGCTCCTTTCAAGATCATTAAAAACTATACGAAGTATATTTACATACTTTGTAAGTTTATGTTTATTGACCTATTACAAAACTGGTTTCATAGCATATCGTGTTAGCACTAAAATAAATTGATTCTCTGACACAGGCTTTCTTTTTTTAAGCTTATTTTCTAGTACCTTCTCCTATAACTTTACTGTCCAACTAATAACTTTGATTCTTCTGTATTTTCATAATTTTGAAGATCCTATTTGTTTTTGAATATTGATTCCAAAATATTTGACATGTTAATTTGTATTTTTAGGCTCAACTTAATATCTGTTATTCAAACCATTTTAATTCCTCTCATAATTCTTCAAATCTCAACATGCAGTTGAATGATAATGATTTGAGGTTAGAAAAGAAGAGGGAACCCACAATTCAACATTTTTTTATAAATGAAATGATAACTAATGTAGAATGAACAAAAATTGCTTTTCTGTACTGCAATGTGCAGCCAACTTTGGATGGTAATCTGTTTATTCTACTCATATGTAGAAAATTTTGGACTTTTTATTTCTTTTGTTAAGTTTGTTTCCCTTTCAGTCAAGAAATCAGTAGTATGTTCAAATTTTCCTTTTATGTTCATGATGATTTTTCCTCTAAAGGTCCGTTTTATTTTTTCTTGATTCATCCAGGACCAGCGCAAAACACCTCAGAGTATGTTCAGGCCACTTTTATCGAGTGTCCCTGCAACCACTTTCCGGCCCATTTTTTCCAGGAACTCTTCTCTCACAACTAGTAGTAATACAAGCTCAGAACAAGGTGTTGTTAGTGTTGCACTGGATGCGGGAGGTAGCGAGCATGAACATGTTCTACCCCCTGGATGGGAAAGGGTTGAAGACTTTGACTCCTATGAGGATGTATTTTTGTTCGATAAAATAGACGAGATTATCAGAGTTACAAATGATGAGGCATTCTCTGGACCGCAGCGGAGCCGTGATGAGAACCTTTCTGAAAACTTGAGAAAGAAATTTAATTCAAAATATATTCAGAATCCCTTGACAAGTAGTAATATTGCTTCTGAGCTAGCACAATGTGCTGACAATCAGTGTGATATTGATGGCTATCCAATTACGGCAGTTTGTTCTAATTGTGGCAAAGAGTTCAATATTGAGGATACAATTGGAAACAAAAAATTATGCGAAGAATGTGGTGAAACTAGGTTTTGCACTGCAGAAAGAGCTTTGACATATTTGCCTTTCAGTGTAAATGAAGTTCCTTCTCAGATGGACACTATGTTGGAGGCATTAAGCAAAGGAAAGCTCAATACTGGAGTACCTGACCTCCATAAAGATGATAACGGAAAAGTCAAGCTCGGTCAACATGAGATTAATATCGAGCGGGGGGCTGATTTCATTCAAAACATCTTGTCTTTGCAGTTGTTGGATCAGAACGAGTCGCAGACTTCTGATCAGCATCTGAACATCAAGAAAAATATAAATGTTACCCAAGACTGCAGAGGTAGCACTTGTCAGTCATCAAATCCTGATGTTATTCCCAGTTTAAAAGTTGGTGTTCCGGAAAGTGCTGGTATCTCGGTGCTTCTACAACAGGGATCTGCCAGTGCTAAGTGGCCCATTTTGCAAGGGAAGGCTCTCTCTGCTACAAATATTCTTTGTTCTGAGCCTTCTTATTCAAGAAATAATGTCAATGCCTTGAGAAGAAGCTTTGGACTAGATAATTGTTCCACTACTTCATCCATTGATCTGGGATTGTTGAGGCAGACAGAGACTTATGTTCAGTACCAGTTGAGCAGGAAAAGTGATGCACTTGGTATAGAAAGGGACATTGAAAGCTATGCTCAAACCATGAGCTCAGATTATGATGCTTCAACTAATTGCTGTGAATCTAGGCACTTGAGAAATAAATTTGATGAAAAAATTAGCAGTTCCACTGAATGTTTAGGTTATGATTCATCTAGAGAAATGACACTGGTTACTGAAGATTATACTAGCTCTTTGGATCAATCAAATTCACCTTCGTCAAGGCCAAAAATTTCTGAGGATTACAGATCTGTGCTTGCTGATAATTGCAGGACAGTAAGCTCCCCCGAATCACAAAATTTGAACCATCAAGGAAGTTATGATATACCTTACTCTTCAGTTGCAGATATTATGTGTGCAGAAGAATGTACTTTATCAATAAATACTGATAAAGACCCTCAAAACAATGGAATCAATGCACAAATCATAGAAAAAACAAGTGATATTAGCGTTTTATCTGAAATGGATGAAGATCACATTACGTTGAACCATACTTCTGCAAATGTTTTCTTGGATGAAGCTACCAATAGCTGTTCTATTGGGACTATTGAATCACATGATGGTTGCGTTGAGCTTGAGGATGGGCAAACTGACTGTATGCCCTTCCATAAGACACCTTCTCCAGAACACTTAAATGAGTTAACTGTGCCCCAAATATCAGAAAATGATACATCCCTTTGTTCCTCAGAATCTGTCGCCGCAGTCCTTGAAAATGGTAATATTCGATCTGTCACTAAATCTTTGGTAACCAATTAACTAATTTTTATTTCTTAGATTTTTTTTGGTTTCATACTATCAGTATTCTTTTTTCAATGCGGATCACTAAGCCATTTTTATGCCAAAATAGAGTAGTTTCCTAGCTATCCTCCACCGAAGGGCCAACTCATAATTACCTGCTAACCTGCCCTCATCTATGCACGGATACACAACTAAATTGCTTATGTTTTCAGGAAAGCACATTTACATCTCATGCTTGCCCAAATGTGCGCTTGGAATGATACGCAGATACACCCAAACATGCACATTCCTGCACAAACATGCTTGGTAATCAACGAACTGTAGAAATAAGAACATAAAACATTAATAGCAATCCAAAAAATATTTAATTATTTAAAGTAAAGTTTAATTAATATTTTAATTATATCAACTTCAAATAATTATCTTAATTATAGAAGTAATTAATCATAGTTAGTTATTGATTTGATGTGAAACTACTAGGAGTTACCTTTAGAATTAAAAAAGACAATTGAATAAAGCTTTGCTCATGAAAATTTACCACTAGCACATAAAAGAAGATTATGAATATGTAGTAATCAACTTGCTTAGGCCAAAGAAGTGCAATAGAAATTAACCAAACAATTCCTTCAAAGTTCAAGGCAAGAGTAAATGCTAAGTACACATAACATAATCCAACGCTTAACAACGAGAGGTTCACCTCAAGGGCCTTCTCACTCAACTACTTGTAGGCTTTAGCGGAGAAAGATGAACCATACGAAGAAAGTTATTACCACTAGGAAGACGACCCGAAGACCTTCGTTGGTGGAGCGGTAGCCGGTGGAGATGAGGGTGGTGGGTGGCTGACGATGATCCAATCGTAGTCTTGGAATTGATCGTTTACGACGTCCACGAGAGTAGGAAGGATGCAATTCAGATAGTCTTCCACAGTGTCGTCGGAGCCAAATCCGACGTCGAAGAACGGTGACGGGTGATGTGGATGTCGCCGTAGATGTCGAACACCAATCCGCTGTCAATCTCGGGATCCGCCATGCATTCTTGCCGGCGTTGAAAGAACACCAATAAGGAGAGAGGAGATATGAAGGGGTGAGGGAGAGCACTTGTGGTTTGAGAGGAAGGAAGAGGGAGAAGAGAGGGGCGGCAGGATTTCCAAGAGGGAGCAATTAGGTTTAGGCCAAGAGCAATAGATCTTTAATTTCAGGTTTTAAGTGGATTAGGAGGGAAATCCAAATTGAAATGAGGTCAAATTTCAAATGAGGCTAAGGGGTGTAATGGGCAATTAATGGGAGCCCATTAAAGGGTGGCCGGTGGGTTCAAGAGAGAGGGAGGAGGGGTTTAATGCTAATCCTGAAATTAATTTTAGGATTTGAGGGGTTTGGGGGGAAATTAATTTGAAATTTGAAAATCAAATTAATGAGAGAGGGGGGGATTAAAGTGGAATTAATGGGGAGCCCATTAAGGTGGCCGGCGGCATTGAGAAGGAGGGAGAGGGGTTAGGGGGGGGGAGACTAAATGCTTTCCAAATAAGTTGAGGTCAAAAAGGAGGGAAATTAATAGCTCCACTCTAAATGAAATTTGAATTGGATTTAAATTCGAAATCTTTTCTTATTTGGAATTTTGCAAATATGGAAAGTTTTGAATTTTAAAAATTGATAACTCTTTTATTTAATGCTAGACCTCAATCAAGGAGCCATTATGATGATTGATATCATCATCATGGTTTGGGGCAAGGTGGTGGCCGACGGCCAAAGGAGGAGGAGGGGGCTTTGCCGTCGGGTTGGGGGTCTTGGTGGAGCTTGGAGTTGAAGTGGAGGAAGCTAGTGGGTGAAATGATGTGAGGGATAAGGGAGAGGATTTGTGGTCGGCGGCTATGGGAAGAGCTATGGCCGGCGGGTTAGGGAAGGAAAGGAGAGCGGGATGAAGGGAATAGACCACGAGTCACAGACTCTTCCAATGACTGGCAGATATTGCTTCTGCCCTCACCTCGGGCTCTCGTTCTCCTCTCTAGTGCACGACAAGAATAATAAGAAGAAGAAGATAATAACAACAAAATTTCATTCAAATATCCATTAACCCATTACAACATATGAGACCACTATATATAGGTCTCCACCTATGATGCACAGACACGGACACGGCGACACGGATAGGACATGACACGGACACAGGACACATCAGTATAGAAAATATAGGACATGGACACGGGTTGGACACGTTATTATAGTTTTTATATTTAAAAAATAGTGTATAAAATTAAATAAGTATAATTTTAAAAATAATTTGAAAATAATAAGTCATTTAACTAGAATTGTGCTTAAAATGATTAGTATTAGGATGTCGAGAGTCAAGCATCGATGTCGTTTATCAGTCACCGAGAGAGGAGATGAAAATACATTCACTGCCAAAAAGAAATAAAAATGAGAATATTCGATGATTGAGTATTAAGTGCGGATGTTGATTTGGTGCTGTGGATAGGAAATAAGAAATTTATTTTAAATCCTGCCAAATACAAGAAATTATATTTAACAAAAAATCATAAAATATTTATGATATGCGTGTCGGACACGCGTGTCCAATTTGTATTTAATATTTATTAATCGGACACGTTTTCGACGTGTCCGACACGTGTTGGAGGAGTTTCGGGCGAGTGTCGTGTCAGACATGGTGTCGGACACTGCACGCCTCTTTGAGGAGAAGTGTCGGTGCATCATAGGTCTCCACTCATGAAAAGAAAAAAAGTACGAAGTTGCCCTCTGGGCTACAATAACAAAACAACTCCCCAAAGGGGTAAAAATGGAAAACAACAAATAACTAATAACACATCATGAAATCTGAATCAAAAGTAGAGGCGTTGAATCGTGCCCGTAGATCTGCGATTCCTCCGTCGATAAACATGTCGGTAGCGTCTGTCGATGTCCTCATCATGATTACTATAAGAATTAAGTGATTAATTGATGCATGCAGGGGGGGTCGAAACAAGATGAGAATTTGTTTTGACCCTTGGGCTTCTGGTGTTCTCGACTTGCAGGTTGACACCAATCCTACAACATTTATATTGTTATCTCGTGCACCAATTTGGCAGATTGTTATTTTCTTGGCATTATCTTGTAGTAATGGAGATTCAAACTTTTGGAAAACCCATTGATACTTTACTAGAGAAGATGCTTTGCATGAACATTCTTTCTTCTGATTACTTCAAAGAACTGTATAGGTTAAAGACATACCATGAGGTAATCGATGAGATCTACAAGACCATGTGGAGCCATGGATGACTGGAAATTGTAGGGGTCCGTCGACAGCATTTTGTCTCTTATACAAGTTCTTTACTATGAAGCTCACTGTCAAGCAAATGCATGGGCTATTGAAGCATCATGATTCTCCATATATAAGAGCTATTGGTTTTCTATATTTGTGATATGTTGCCGATCCAAAGACATTATGGGGATGGTGTGATCCTTACATAAAAGATGAAGAGGAATTTTCTCCTGGGTCCAATGGTTGAATGACAACTATGGGGGTGTATGTACGTGTTCTTCTTCTTGGACAGTATTATTTTGACACAGTTTTCTCTCGGGTACTAGTTCCTGTTCTATGGCTGATCACTGACAATATGGAGAAATAGGGAAATAGAAGGCCATAAGTCACCAAATAGAAACCAAAACACATTAGGAATTCTACAGGAAAACTGCACAGAAAACAGTGGAAAGACTCATGGAAATCCCATCCTCTGACCGCTGCACTTGGATGGATGCTAATGAACTAAAGCGACGTCATCCTGATCTTTTTTCAGAAAGTTACTAAAGCATTATCATCCGGAGATGAGAATTTCCCACCAAGGGGGAATTGATGCAATCATGATTTTTGTATTTTAATTATCAAGCATTGAACATTAGTTTTTAATTTAGTTTTATATTTTTTTTAGCTATCCAATAATGGGAAAGCATCCAATGATCATGGTAGGTTGTGCTTGGGCTTGGTAGACCTTGGTTTCTCCATATTGCCAGTGATCAGCCGTAGAACAAGAACTGGTACCCGAGGGAAAAGTGTGTCAAAATAATACTGTCCAAGAAGAAGATCACGTACATACACCCCCATAGTTGTCATTCGACCATTGGACCTAGGAAAAAATTCCTCTTCATCTTTTATGTAAGGATCACACCATCCCCATAATGTCTTTGGATTGGCAACATATCGCAAATATAGAAAACCAATAGCTCTTATATATGGAGAATCAGGATGCTTCAATAGCCCATGCATTTGCTTGACAGTGAGCTTCATAGTGAAGAACTTGTATAAGAGACAAAATGCTGTCGATGGACCCCTACAATTTCCAGTCATCCATGGCTACACATGTTCAACTTGGTTGTAGATCTCATCGATTACCTCATGGTGTATCTTTAACCTATACAGTTCTTTGAAGTAATCAGAAGAAAGAATGTTCATGCAAAGAACCTTCTCTAGTAAAGTATCAATGGGTTTTCCAGAAGTTTGAATCTCCATTGCTACAAGATAATGCCAAGAAAACAACAATCTGCCAAATTGGTGCACGATATAACAATATAAATGCTGTAGGATTGGTATCAACCTGCAAGCCGAGAACACCAGAAGCCCAAGGGTCAAAACAAATTCTCATCTTTTTTCGACCCTCCCCTTTGCATGCATCAGATACTCCCTACTTGAAAAACTCATCTCCCGATGAGTTGTCTTTTGATTTGATCCGAGGAGACGGTGGAAGGGCATCAAGCTCTTGAATCTTTGCATCGAATTTCTTCAGGATTTCTTCTTTTTCTTTCTCGAATTGGTCTTGAAGATATTTCTTCATTTGCTCGAATTTCTCATCACGTAAGAACATTAGATTTTGAAGTTTATACAATTCGTTTTGAAGCGGATCTGTTGAACTTCCTTCCGTTGGAATCCACCTGTCCATCGGAAGAGGAACTTCAAGATCTTCTGGCTTGTTTTCTTCTTTGACTGAATCAATCTTTTTGTGATTTTCCATTTTTAAAATTTTGTAAGTCAAAATTGTAAGCGTCTTTATAATATTAAAGTTTGTTTTTGTCGTAATTTGTCTATTTTGGAGCAATCTTTGTAATTTTTATTATCTAGGAAAGTAATGTCTTTGCTTGCAAAAATTTGGGGCCCTTCCCAAATTTTTGTATGCATCAAGTTTTGTATCAAAGCAAGTTCTTATCCTTAGTTGGTATTTTGTTGGTTTCTTGTCTTTATTTGGTGTCTCTTTTCTAAAATTCTAAGATGACTAATAATCCGGGGGATTGGCAAAATTTAATGCAACAATTGAATCATTTGCAATAACAAATCAACACTATGGCTGAAGCAATTGAAAATTTGAATGTTAATAATGCTAATCCTAATGCACAAAATTCTGAAAGTGAATAGGAGGTTCCTAGAAATCAAAACAGGCAACAAAGAAATTGGGATCATGGAATTAAAATTGATGTTCCTAACTTTGAGGGAAAATTTCAACCCGATCAATTCCTTGAATGGATAGAAAAAATGGATCAGTTTTTTGAGTGGAAAGAAATACCTGAAAATAGGAAAGTTCGCTTTGCTAGTCTAAAACTTTCTGGTCATGCCTTAACTTGGTGGAAAACTTTCAAAATAATAGACTTAGGTGAGAAAAAGAAAAAGTCCAAAACTGGGAAAGAATGGAAAAAAAAATGAAAGAGAAATTTTTGCCAACTGATCATACTCGAACAATATTTCAAGAATTTAATAATTTGCGACAAGGAAATCAGTCTGTTGAAGAATACATCGAAATGTTTTATAAACTTCAATCCAGAAACGATTTAGATGAATCTGAAGAGAAAACAGTTTCAAGATATATTAATGGCTTAAAGTGGTCAATCTAATATAAACTTAACTTGCATCATATCATTAAAACTGATGAGACTTATCGTATGACACTAAAATTGGAAAAGCAACATCAAAGGGAAAGGGGTCACACTAAAGTAATGGAAACATATAAATGATGACCAACTAGCGGGGTTAAAACTCAATCTCAAGCTTCTGGGGGAACATCTGGTGTGAAAGTTAAAACTTTTGAAAATCAAAATGCAGATAAAAGAAAGGGAATTATGGGTGCTAAACCTAGTGATCAACCTAGATTAATTGGATCATGTTATAAATGCGGGCTTTATGGTCATCTCTCTGCCACTTGTAGGAAAAACAATCCACCAAGAAATAGTCTCATTGAAAACGATGAAAACTTGGAGGAAGAAGAAGAAGTAAATGAATCTGGTTCTGAAAATAACATTGAATTAGAGAAGGTTGGTGTTGTAGGAGATGAGGGTGAAGAGTTTTTGGTAATTCGACAAGCCTTAATAACAAAAATTGATAAAGGAGATAGGTGGCTAAGAAGAAACATATTCAAAACAACTTGCACAATCGAAGGAAAAATCTGCACTCTTATGATAGATAGTGGGAGTTCTGGAAATTTTGTTTTTCAAAAACTGGTTGACAAGCTTAAACTTAAGTCAAAATCACTTGCCAAATCCTATAAAATCTCTTGGTTCAAGGAAGGGGGTGAGGTTCCAATCACTAAGCAATATACTGTCAATTTATCAATTGGGGGTTCTTTCAAAGATCTAGTTGTTTGTGATGTTGTGCCTCTTGAAGTTTGCCATATTTTGTTAGGACGACCTTGACAATATGATCACAAAACTATTCACAATGGAGAGAAAAATACATATACTTTGATTCAAAATAATAAAGAGTTCACTCTTCATCCACAAAAACATGTGCCTGATTCACATGTTAAGAATAACACGGTTGCCGTTGGACCTCCGAAAGATGACCGCACAAACGGGCCAATCAGAAGGGACAGATTGGATCGTGCATATGACTAACCATTGCGGACAGCGGCTCTCACCAGTGCACCCCGATGAGTAGTAACATACACGACCTGATCACAGTTACGGGTTTCCCCCACCCGATACAATAGCTCGAGTGGGGTTTAGTAGATGTGGGTTAAGTTTCGCACGGGCGCAAGCCCCCATGGTTAATTACATCTCGAGCCGGAGCCCGAGAAAACTCTCGATTAAGGATCATACATTATCCTTCTCAAAATGGGATTGACACAAGGTTATAGACTAAGAAGTCCTAGTCAAAAGGGAGGAAAGGTCCCAAGGGGCTGAATCAACATGCATGGTTCATACCAACATCCGGAGGCTCTAGGGTACTAACATGAAACTGGGGAAAAGAAGATCAAGCACTCAATCACATGCGTGAGAGAATGATGGAGGTGGCATCATCCTGTGACGCAGATAAGTAGGATTTATAATCCCTGAAGGGAAGGGACATACCTACTATTTAAGACATACTACGAGACCGAATGTAGTAGTCTCGAGTCCTAAATCTAGGTTGGGCTTATTGTTCTACACAACACTAACAGCTGTGTCCTAACTAATGCAGTGCAAAACCTGGACTTACTCCGGTCTGGATTGGGGAGCCAGCTAACCACCTAATCGCTTTAAAACCATGCTATCCAGTCAGTTATGAAAGTTGTGTGGGTGGATCAGTTCTTTGGAAATAAGACCGACATCTATAGGGTTTTCTAATTGGTCCTGGACTTATGTGGGGTGAATGCCCCTAACTAATGCAATTAAATTTTAATTAGTTGGTTACTAATGCAATGCATGCTGGTTAAAGATTCCAAATCAGGTATGCATAAGATTTTAAAAACAAGGTTAATATAAAATAATTTTTAGAAGGAGACTAGACTTCCCCAGGTCCGGCACTTCATCCTCATAGGTCAGCTTATCCGGACTCTACCCACAGGCGGGGAAGTGTCTCAAAGCAAGGAGGGAGAGAGATGCATTAATATGCATGACCTCGGACAATTCCGGTAGTTCCTTATGTTCGTTAAGTTTCTATGTTATTTAAATCTTAAATTTTATAGCTTAGTTACGAGTAGAAAATATTTTTTTGATCATTAGAAGAGCCTAACGAATTCCAGGCGAAAATAAAATCGGCATGCAAGAAAGAAACCTAGGAAAAGCAGATAAATTGCCCTTATTACAACTCAGGGTATGCAGAAAATAAAGTGGTCGGGCACCTCTGCCAATAATTCCGATTTTTATACCTATGACAGACGCAAATGACTTTGAGTGGGATATTGATTTTCAAGTCTTCAGTCTTCTTTGGATCACTTTTCCTTGGACTCCTTGGATCTCTTCTCTTTGGACTCATTGGATCTCACCTCCTTGGACTCATTGGATTCGTCGTGACTTGAATGTCCAAACGAAAAGACAATTCCTCCTAGTAGGGGGTATTGCCTTTTCTCTTTGGATATTTAAAGCCATCTAGCTCGATCTTCCAAATGGAAGAAGACTCTCCTGCATGGTTATCCTAATAAAAATCATCTCAAGCAGTTTATATATAATGAAATAAAAATGCACATTCACAGCCAGATTCTTGGCCATGCTCTTAATCATTGAGGATTAAATAATTTCAGGAGCACCTGTAGCAGTTATAATTAATGATATTAGCCCTCATTTTATTAGGGGGGCTGAGCAAGCACCTACATAAAATATCATTAGAAATCATGACAGTTGCCCCCCTTTTAGCATAACATGAGCATGACCACCTGCAAGAAGAACAATATATATGTCGTTCATAATCTAGGGGTAAATCTAACGTCCATCACATCATATCCACAGAGTGCAGGAAAAGTAAGCACACACACAAACAATTTCAAACAGCATGTAGTGAAAACCACAGAAAACTCCGCTACACAGCAGAAAAGAAAACACCGGTCTAGCCTAAGTCTAGAAGTAGTGCCCTAGCAAACAATTCTACGTGTGTGTATGGCTAGTGTGGCTTGGATATGTCCTAATCTGGGTAGTTAGTTAAAGTTGCATACAGTTCAGGTTTGTTATAGGCTAGAAAAGGAAATTTTAATTAAAGTTTAAATATTAATAAATTAAGATCCATTTTAGTTAATTTAGTTTGTTGATCACTTTTAAAAGCTTAGGGTAGTGATATTTGAAGTTCAAATTGTATTAGCCAATTTTGGAAAGTCCCGGGTCCTCCTAAGTACTAGGTTGAGGGGGTCCAAAAAGTTACTATGAGAAATAGGCTATGTATGGGTCTCCTAAAATTTTAGGCAAATACTAGACCTTAAGAGGAGTAGTTAGCCAGGTAGTACACTGAATTTGGAGCTTTCTAGGCAAAATTATGAATTTTCTAAGTTTCAGATCCTAGACTATAGGCTAGGGTTGACCAAAAAGTTGACTTTCTAATTTAAATGTGTTTTTGGAATCCTAATATTTTTAATAAATACTAGATCCTAATAGGAGTCTAATGCAAGTGAGTTTGCCTAATTTGAAATTTTCAACAATTAGTTATGAAATTTCTAAGTTCAGGGTATTTATGGAATTATCTAAATTATGTATTTAAGGGCTGATTTTATAGTTTTGATCCAAACCAGCTCCAAACTGATTGGAATCACCCCCAAAGGTTAGGAATGACCTGAGAAAGTTATCCCAAGTGTTTGGGAAAAATTTGGAATTTCTAATAATTTATTAGGGTCAAAAAGGTAATTTTCACCTAAGGTTAAATTAAGGGTCAACCTAAAGTCAAATTAAAGAGCCCTATTTATTTAAAGTCAAGGATCAGATTTTGGACAATTTGAGGTATGGTAGATAATTTTCTGACTTAAAATGGATTTAATGTAATTTTTAGAAGGTCTCGGGCCCCTATTTAACA